CGGTGTTCGCTGGTAGGACGCTTGCATATATACACGGACAGTAGCCGTGGTAAAATAAGCGCACTGAAGAAGATGCACACAGGCAGATAAACACATGATTATGAAAGAAGGAAATTCGCTCGTGTAGAAAAAAAAGAAAAAAAGACGAAGGAAGGAAGAGCAGGCAGGGAAGGAAAGGAAGAAGTGTTTATAGCAAAAAAAGAAAAAAGAAAAAAGAGTAAAAAAAAGAGACAGGATGGAAACGGGAAAGACAAGAAGGAATCGAAACAGAAAGCAGAAGTAAGGAAGAGCGCAAGGAAGGTAATCTATAAATTAGATAGGAAAAGTAGCTCGAAGGGCGCAACCCCGTGGTGGCAGACAAGGAGAAGAAAAACAAAGAGAATATCAGAGGACAGGAGGCGAGATGAGAGAAAAAGTGCAGACAGAGGAGGAAGACGAGATAGAAAGAACACGGAGAGAGGAGGAGAGAGAGACGAGAGGAGAACGCATAGATTAGAGAGAGAGGAGAGAGGTCGAAAATTGAGAGAGATGAGGGAGAAGGGGGGGATGGAAGAAGGATATAGAAAGAAAGGAACTATGAGAGAGAAGTAGAGGCGGAGAGAATCAATGGAAGGCGCAGAGAGACGAGGGAGAGAAACGACGAGAGAGAGACGGTGTCGCGCAGCCATAAACAGAAGCTATGATACGCAGGCGGCGAAGCACGCGACGCAGCATGAAGACGAGGTAACGCAGTGATACGGCAGCCGGCGACGCGGACAGGGAGAGGAGAAGAGGCCGAGATGACGAGAAGATAAGCGCGGAGAGTATAGTGACTGGCGACGCGGAGCGAACGCGGACGGAGATGAACAGATGGTACTTACTACTACCGGCGAGAACGCACGCACATAACGAAAGGAAGATATATCGGTGAGCGCGCGAGCACGCATCGCTAACACGAGAGTACCTATACGAGCGCCGAAGAGAACGGACCGAGAGGAGAGAACGACGAGACACGGAGCCGAGCATAACGAGAAGAGAGTAGATGACGCGCCGCGGAGCACGACACGCGACATGAAGCAGAGAGACCGAGAGGTACCTTAGCCCGCCCGCGAGAACGCACGCAATATGAACGAAAAAGCATATGATGAGAGAGTGCGGACGCGAGCACGGACGAACGCGACATAACAAGGTAACGATAGAATGAAGCGCGAATAGACGAGGACGAAGAGACACGCGAAACGAGACAGGAGAGAGCAGCACACGTAACAGAAAGGACTGAATATGGAAACGAGGAGCGCGGGAGCGAAGACGAGCACGCACATGAGAAGGACTAAATAGCCGCGACGCAGGAAGAAGCGCAACGCAATAACAGAGCTATATACGGGACGCGCGGAGTACGCCGGACATAGAAGGTTTATACACCGCGTGTCCCGCTGAGGACGAGAGGGCCGCTGAGAGAGAGAGAGAAGAACGCGAGGAACGAGCAACATAAGCCACACTAAGGAGAATGCATTATACGCGCGCAAAGAGCACGCGAAGCGGACAGGGGGACGAAACGAATGAGAGAGAGACACGCCAGCAGTAAACGAGAGGTAGATGCACTTATTGAACGCACGACGCGCGAGAGATGATGGAGAACGCACGGAACGGCGAGTACGGCTGATATCGCGCGCGGCGGCGCGGCGGCGAGTAGGACAGCCAGCCGGGTACGGATATCGGACGACGGGAGGATGAGCCCATACGCCAGTGATGGCATAACAGAGGCGGTAAGATATGAGCAGAGAGCCGCGAAGGCAGGGACCGCGAACGCAGGCACTTAAACAGCAGGAGTATTGAACCGTTATTACGGGTCGGCGCGGCGGGATTAACGCTCACGTTCACCTACATGAACATTAAAGGCTAGTTATACGCTCTTGCGGAGATGCATGCACGACACACATAAAATACCTATTACGCCGGTCTGGATGGAATTCGCACGCTAAGACATACTATGGTAAGCTAGTAGTCGCGGCGGGCCTGGCGTGAGCAGATGCACATAACAGGTCACAATATATCGCCCGCGGGAGAGAGAACGCTCATGCGACTTTGGACGACGCACATAAAAGATCGCTATGATACACGGCGGGCGAGGCACTCTCGGATGCCACATAACGGGTACCTTTTGACGCCAGCGTATTTTGGGTAAGCGATTTTTTCCTTTGATCATGCATCGCAATAATTTCAGATTAGTCTGTATTATTATCTGGCGCGAGATCCGTATGCTCACGCACTATATACAGTGATACCTTATTACGGCCG